GGAGAAGGGTGAGCCGGTTGTTATTATGGCGGAGGGCAAGACGGAGGCGTGTGCTGTTGGGTTCTTGGTTGCTGGTACCAAGGAAGTTAAGGATAAGGGCAAGGGGCCTGTGGTGGAGGAGGCGCATTTCCTCGGCGATGGTCTGTGGAGGCTCGGAACGGACTAAATATGGTTTGGGGTGGGGATTGTCGTATGGACGAAGAAACGGTTTTGCACATATGATATAAGGGAGAGAGATACAGTGACAATGCAATATGGGCATAAGCATGAACAGAACCCAACAAAAGTTTACCTTTTGATTGCACCATATCTTGCTGAGATAACACATTCGCTTTTGCTTTTGTTTTGGGATTGGTCGAAGGTGTGATTTCCCTGGCCATTGCTGATATGCTGCCAATATTTACCTTTAGTCTATCCGGGGGTAGGAATGATGGCCCAAAATTCACCGACAGCAAGGCTCGCGAGTGGAAAGTCGCCTACCTAGGTACGTCCAGCATCTCTCACCATTGACAGAAAGAGTTATCACGTTCCAGACTCGCTCTTCAGACAGCACATCTAATTAGATACCCCGGAAGCTACACTGAGGGCCTGAACGAAAATAATAGAAGGGAGCATGCCAATGTATTCTCTCCAGGTATGTAGCATTTGACTGGTAATAGCAAACGATGACGACGATGAGGAAAACATGGATTAATTGAGCCTAGTGTCAATTCATCTTGGGCCAGCTTTAAGGTCCTCATTCCGATGCATGAGAGCTTCATGATAACTAGGGAAGAAACCTGGCTATCTTCAACATCAATTTTCACTGTCGCATTTGAGAACTTGCTGAGACTCCCGGAATGTTGAGGATCATCGCCAGTATTAATGAGCTCATCTAGTCCCGGTCCATTGCTATTCCAGGCTCGACTTCCTTGGACTGGTACCAGCTTCATGCTTAGATGCGGCTGAATAGTGAGTCACCTGCATCTTTGAAGCTCAATGAGCCGTATTTACAATCCAAAATGACTCCGGCAGTCTAGTGCATGGGCAGTCTCTGACCGAAGAAGCTCTCAGAATCCATCTCACCACGTCACGCCGAGCTGTAGTGGTCTGTGCATTACTGGTATAAGAGTCACGTGGTGGTATGACATCCAAATTTTTCCCACGTTGCCCCTCATTGCCCCTCCACTACTCTGTACCTTACCTTACCCCTCAATTTCACGCCTGATCGTGTGTCTAGCTCAACCACCAATAACGACAAATCTCAGCATCATGGCCGACGAAGCAGCACCGACGTCCAAGAAGGGCGCGAAGAAGGCCGAGGCCAAGGCCAAGAAGGAGGCCATGAAGGCTGCGCGTGCGGCAGAGCTCGCCCAGCAAGCCGCCGCAGTCACTCTCGAGGACGACCCCGCCCAGGACAACTACGGCACCAAGCCTGTCTTCAGCAAGGATGCCGAAGAAGTCGAAATCCGCGAGCTGAACGATTCCCACAATGGCAAGACCGTCATCGTCCGTGCATGGCTTCAGAACTCTCGTGTTCAGAGTGCCAAGATGGGCTTCGTCGAGCTTCGCAAGGGAGGCAACTGGAACATCCAGGGTGTTGTCATGGCCTCTGACGAGGAGCCCATTGTCAGTCGCCGCATGGTCAAGTGGATCACCAGCATCAACCCCGAGAGTTATGTGGTTGTTGAGGCCAAGGTGAAGCAGCCTCTTGAGCCCGTCAAGAGTTGCCGGGTTTCTGGTCTGGAGCTCCACATCACCAAGTGCTTCGTCCTCGCACCGGCCCCCGCCATGCTTGGCATGACCATGGGAGCTGCCAGCCAGCCCATCGTCAACTTCAGCGACGAGAAGGCACCCGTCGCCGACGCTGAAGCCGAGAAAGAGAAAGCTGCCGAGAACACAAGCACGGTGCCCTCCGCGACAATGCTTACCCATCTCGACAACATTGCCATGCACAAGCGCGCTCCCGTCCAGCAGGCCATTGCCGTACGTTTAAACTCAAGACCAAGCTTCAAATGTTTTTACTGACGATACCGGCACAGGATATCCGTATCGAAGTGAAGAAGATCTTCCGGTCATACCTCGAGAACCAGAAGTTCAAGGAATTCGAGCCTCCCTGCCTCATCGGCGCTGCCTCCGAAGGTGGCGGTAACGTTTTCCGATTCGCATACTTCGGCGAGGAGGCTTTCCTCGCCCAATCACCCCAGTTCTACAAGCAATTTGAAATTGCAGGTGGCAGAGAGCGTGTGTTCAGCATTGGCCCCGTTTTCAGAGCCGAGAACTCCAACACCCCGAGACATATGACCGAGTTCACCGGTCTTGATGTGGAGATGGAGATCAAGCAGTCTTACACCGAGGTCCTTACCGTCCTGGAGGGCGTCCTGCTGTCCATCTTCCGTGGCATTCAGGGTGAGTTGACAACCATTCCGAAGTCCTCAACGTCAAAGATCCGTTCATTTGCAAATGCTAACCATGGTTCTTGTTGCTACAGAGCGCTGCGCCGACGAGATTGAGACCGTCCGATCTGTTTACCACTCCGAGCCCCTTCTCCTTCCCGAGCCCGGCAAGGAGGTCCGCTTGACCTTTGCCGAGGCCCAGAAGCTTCTTCGCGAAGAGGGCCCCGCCGAGTTCGCCAACGTTCGTGACGATGAGGACATGAGCACCCCTCAAGAAAAGGCCCTTGGAGAGGTCGTGCGCAAGAAGTACAACACCGACTTCTACGTCATCGACAAATTCCCCGAGACGGCACGCCCGTTCTATGCCAAGCTTGACGATGCCGGCACCACGACTGGTGAGGGCACTCGCGTAACGAACGCTTTCGATTTCTTCATCCGTGGCCAGGAGGTTCTCTCCGGAGGTCAGCGTATCAACGACCCGGCTGAGCTCGAGGAGCGCATCCGCGCCAAGGGCATCGACCCTGAGAGCGCCGGAATCAAGGAGTATCTCACGGTGTTCCGACAAGTTGGTGTGCCACCCCACGGTGGTGGTGGCATCGGTCTCGACCGTGTGGTTGCTTGGTTCCTGGCTCTACCCAGTGTCCACCTGGCGGCGTACTACCCTCGTACGCCCAAGAGACTTTTGCCGTAAGGCATTCCATAAGGGCCTTGAGTCTCTTTGGATCAAAAGGAGTGGCGTTCTTCGATATGGATAATGAAATGTGTCACGTTCGGCCATGTTGCGGACGCTGAAGGCGAAAAAGTCAAGATGACTCAAATTCTAGCGCTTATGTCTTATGTAGAAGAATCAACAATTCTGAAGATGCACTCCGAGGCTTCCTACACCCGATGTGAAGCAATTGACACTATGGTTTGTTCCCGTCGATGCTGACGTCCGAAAGGAGTCTGCCTTATTCTCGCCTCGATATGCAATCCTCCTGACGCTTTTACCGAGTACAGCAGGTGAACTAATTAAGTGTCAGCATAATTCAGATATGACCTGATTTCCCGTGTTAATTTCGTGTCTTACGTCAACAGAACACGGCTTGCCAGCATCGCCGAAGTTGTACCCCTTGATCTCCCCGAATCTCTGTCCCCAGGGGCATGATTCTCTAGCGGTGCAGGAGTTGCCTTCCATCATGCCCGGGTTGTTGTATGGTCTGCATGAGGCCGCGATCGCGGGCGAGGCCAGCGCGGCTACGAATGCGAGAAGAGTTGCGAATAGCATGATGATCGAATTAAAGCGAGTGAGTTGGTGATCAGAGCTAAAAACTTTCTTTGGGTCTTGACTGGTTGATCCGGAGAGCTAGTAGAAGGGACCGGATATAGCTGAGAGGTCCCTCCCAACCATTTATACAAACAGGAACGCTCTACTTACTCGGTATCGTATTTGATTTTCTTTCCCGTATTCTACGCATTGAGGTTTGGACTAGGGGCCGCAAATCCGCATCGTCAAACCCCCTGGTGGTTTCGGGGAGAGAAGCTCGGTGATTTTTCATGAGAAGTGGTATTCGAGTCATGTACGGGCCTCCCTTTTGAACTTAATTATATTGAGCATAGCCTCGCAAGCTGTGATAGAACACTAGCCAGCGCATATCTTTTCTACATGGTTGAAGCGAATGGGCTGTTCAGCTGGGAGCAACCTGCGCTCTTGCGTTATCGGGAAATAGCCTAGTCATATAAAGTATGGAGAGCTCCGTCCTAATCACAACCACATTGGTGGAACTGGGTTTACATTGAAGCTAGTCAGCGACTCAGCATGGCTTTGAGGTGGACTGCTTATTTCCATGGAATATTCGGGGCTAGAATTATCTTGTCTACTGGGTCATATGGAATTATTTCCCAGATGACTCTAGATTAATCATGGCCTGATAACCCGCGGGAAATATCGCTGCAGAGCTGCATGCATCGGCAACCAGTCTCCGAGGTCTTCAACCTTGAGAATAGTGTTATCGCTACTACTTTGGAAGTACAAGTATCATTTTCGTAGGATATTTTGAGGGACTGTTGTCGTGATTTGAACTCACAGTTGCATTGTGTACACAATTGACCGCCTGGTTCTCTGCCTTATAGCACTTGCTTAGAACCAAGGACTTGGTCGACTAGAAAGTCATGAGTGGCCATGACCACGCGCAGTTAGAAGTGTTCCACCGGACGCACTTTGAACGTTAGAGCCACTTACACAGGAAACAATCTTGGCATCGAAAGCTTCCACTTGCTCTTATATTGATGACCTCTCCCGATTGATGCATAGATTCTCGCCAATCAGGATAGCATATGGCATTTGGTGAATTCGGAGCCGGAACTTCTGCAGATATGCTGTTTTTGAGTGAAAGTCCATGGTCGAGAAAGTGGAGTCCAGAGTAAATGCTAGCCCACCTATGTTACTGAGAATAACGTGCAGCTTTACTTACCTAAGACAAGCTGCTATTCATCCCTGTAACTTCTGGAGTGCTGCCTAGAATGGCTTACTCCCGCTCTGTGCGCAGTACATTGGCAAGCCTACGCTATTTGTGCCTGTTTCACGGCTTGTTCTGGGTTCACGTTCTATAACGTGTTATCTTTCGCGCTACGCCTTAGGAAATCATGGCTTTAAGAAAATTTCACTGTTTCTTGTTTCTGCCCTTTGAGATTCGGCGAGAAATCTACTGGCTCGCCACCCTGCCACGCATCGTGAACGTTGAGGAAAAGACGGTGGTCGACTTTGACGAGTTCAAGGAAATTCTCCGCACAGATCCGGTCCAGCTTCAGATCCACCCTGATATCAAGTTCTTCAAGAGATGGACGTAGCCTCCGCCAAACGACCCTAGAGGAGCACGGCTTCACCGGCAGCGAACCGATCCCACGACCTTGGACTCCGTCCGCTCGGTGTCCAGAAATACCCCTCGCATGGCTAGCCAACGATCCAAAGGTCGCGTGGGAGATCATGAGAGAGGGCTACTTATACAGCAAGGCCCCGATACCACCTCTACTGCACACCTGCGCCGAGTCTCGCGGCGTGCTCATAAGGGGCGGCTACCGCTTGGCCTTTGCGACGCGGACAGCCGGACCACGAACGCGGTTCCACTTTGATAGGGATACTCTCTTCCTCTCACAGGCCGCCTACGAGGAAGAGGATCGTCCCGAGCTGTTGAGCGGGGGCCCGTGGGACGTGGGCCAGTTCACAGCGGCGGATCTGCGACAAGTGCGCAGGCTCGCGCTGGAGGGTTCAGCGCTTGTGCTGAACGGCGCGGATAGGGCGGCGCCATGGCAGAGCGTGCCGGCGACCGCGTCGGTGGCCGTCTCTGTTTTGCTGAGGCTGTTGGGGTCTGTAGAAGAGCTTTGGTTTGTGGAGTGGACGCGGCGTGATGTGGAGCGTTGGAGCGTGTTTCACCCCTGTTCCCCGTCGCCGCGGTGGCATTGGGAGGTTCCGCCGGTGGTGGACGGCCGTGCTGTTGATGTGGCGAGAAGAAGTGGTGATTTTGTGGCGGTGGATGTTGAGCTTGTTGATATGACTGGGCCGGGTTGCCTGTGTGACGGAGCGCTTGGGGGTGAGTTTCTTCAGTCCGGGTTCGGGGAGTTGCATTTTGTGAAATTTATGGAGGACCGCCAAGAATCCGGGGCCGGAGTTGGGGCCGAGTCGGACGCGGCATCTTATAGTGGGTATCTGCGACGGCTTCGACAGGTGTTTCTCGAGCATCAGATGGCTGGGATTCTTGCCAAGGAACAGCACCGCGAAGAGGTGCAGAGGACGGACGATGGCATTGATCCGGGGTGTTGGAAGATACCAGAGACAAAACTTGTTCACGTCCTGCCGCAAAATTTGGTCCAGTATCTCTACGAGGAGCGCCAAAAGGTCTTGGTGGGGTTGGAAGCATTGCAGACGGAATGGGCTTACTTGACGAAGCAGGAGGTTTGCTCGGTGGGCAAGGGCGGTGAAGCTCTGCGCGTAAATCCTGCCGTTTCCGAAAGGCAAGCATTCGAGGACAAGCATTGGCCTCCGGATGACTGTCCGCACGAGGAATGTCAAGGAACGTGTTATCTCAGCAGCGTGGCGGATAGAATCAAGAAGTGGTGGGTGCAGCATGGGCCAAGTCTGTGACGCTTCTGGCTAGTTCACTTACATGAACTCCGTAGTACGTCTAAAAGCAGGCATAAAGAAGGGAAAGTACCTGGAGTGCAACTTTAGAATTGGTGCATCCAACGGAACTTCCTGAGCCTTTGTCGCTCTGACGAAGTCTGCGAGATGCGAAGTGCGTATGTGAAAGAAACTTCTCAGACTCTATCTTTAGGTATTGACCAAATCCACCTTCTACAGTCAACAACACAGTCAGGGCACGAGTTTGTTAACTCTCAACCCTTCTTGGAGAGAGGAAAGGTTAGCTTGATACTAGACCCTATGTGGCTCCATGTCCCCGCGTCTAGGTGGTTCGTGACCCAACTGTCGAGCTCGGGACGCTTTGCATATAAGAGTTCAAACAGTCTGGTAATTCTGTTCTGCTGCAGAGCCCCCATTGAGTTTCTTGGCATGCGCTGTGCGGCAGTCTGTGGGTTAGAACGGGCGAGGCGGATTTTGCCTTTCCAGCTCTAAGACCCCAGCCTTCCGGATCGCGGTGTTGTCATTGGGGAGAAGTCTGTTACATCACTCAGATCTGCCTTTTATTGGACCAGTAGAGAAGCTGACCAGACCGGAGTTGCGTGCACAGTGAGATGGGTAAATTGGTTGCAGAAGCCGCGCCGAATCATAAGTGTCAAAGCGGCACTCCCAGCTGAAAGTTGAACGGCAAGGCAGTCCATCGATTCAACCGCTCATCAGATGACGGCAGTGTTCAACAGCTCCTGCGATCCATTATTTTGGGGAGTCCGGTACGTACTCAATAGCTGCAATTCTCGTTCCTTCTTTTTTTCCTTTTTTTCTTTTCTCAAAAACAAAAAGCGTTTTCGAAAGCAAAGAGGGGACGAAGCCAAGTTGATAATTATTCCAAGGAATATGAGAAGAAACCTAAGGCTGATAAGCGAGCCAAGCAACAGGACCCATTTAGAAATTGGCAGACACTCGGCAGAGGCCGTTGTCGTGGAAATAACGGCGTGGCATTCGGGGGGATAGTCTGCACATGGTACGCAAGATGGCATATCCATAATTGATCTGGTGGGTTGGGAGATGGGCAGGGAATCCATGACATCAGCCCTCGCAGGAAGGTTGACTTCGTTGGGGTATGAGGGAGATTCCCCTCTGTCTCGCATCTCAGATCGACCTTGATCTGACTTCGCCTTCTCACCTGTGCCACCGCACCCAAGGAGCCCTCCGGCTTCGACTAGAGGAGGAAAGACTGAGGTCATCCCGAGTCTACCGTGCTTCATGTTCCCAGCTAGGACCAGGTTCCGAAAACTTGTGTGCCCACGTGTCGTGTCCGCTTGCGAAATATCAACCTCAAATGCAGCACCTGGGCAGGTTTCTGGAACCGCTATTGGGGATTTGATTGGCTTCCAAGGTATACTTGGCCGACACCCTAGAGCGACAACGCATGGACTCAGGAGACGGCACTCATTTCGGAGGTCCAACTCCTCGACGCAAGTACGCTACAATTACCGTCGGCAAGGAGACAAAATAGCCATCGCCAAGCTTGGGGCGCATGTTTGTCATGACTTGAGCTGGCCCGGGTTCCGCCTTGTTTATGGGGCTCACCAGAGCAGAGAAAGGTTGTGGGTGCAACCACCTCTAAAAGCTCACCTGTTTCAGCGGCCCAGATGAGCAAGATCTGGGCTGCCATAAACTTGGCTTTGAGGTTGTAGGCTTCCCGAGACGGGGATGGCTAGACTACGTGGCAACCCCTTGGCGGTATGACGGCGGGGAACAGTCCTAGTCGCGTAGCTTATTCGCTTCCTTATCCCTCCCTGGTATTATTGTAAGTCGGCTCACGCAAATGACATGGATGAGCTACTGGCTTCTGATGGCACTTGGCCGCTTGGCGGCCGTCTTTATTAGGTGGACGGAAGGGGCTGCCGCTAATTTTCCATTCACGAATCTTCCTACAAAAATTCTCACACTCAATCATCGACGTTTGTCGATGACAGGTCGCAGTTGGAGCCCCGTTGGGGCTCGTCGGAGGGGACTGAAGTCGTTCACCGCGCGGATGACACTTCGGTTTCTGGTAATTGCTTCCATCGTCGCCATGTATCATTTGTTGGACCTTCATTTCCGCTATCGAGAGGACATGAAAGTCAAGTATCTCCCGACAAAGTTCGCACCCCTTGCGGATTACGACGAGGCAATACTTTCAAGCACCGGATGGGAAGTCAATCCCGATACCACAAGTGCTGCACGTGGCATCTTACTGGACAACCGGCGCCATTGGAAGAAGCTTGGAAAAGGCAGAGAAGGTGAAACGTTCACGTTTAACGATACTGTCATCAAAGTCTACAATGAGGAAACCAGTCCTTTTCGAAATTGCATTCAAGGAACAGACGCGTCTGCGAGAAGATGGCCCACAGAGATCCCTGCGAGTCTGATCATGGGCGGACACGATGACGGCTCGACATTGCTGGACGATGAGCGATACGGAGAACACTTCGTCCCTGTCCAAGACTACTTCTTAGCTGCCACGGAACCGTCAGGAGCTCCAAAGTGGCACCTCGTCTCGCCGCTTCTCAAGTCAGGCACCCTTAAAAACCTGGCAAAGAAGTTGCGTAGGTCTGGCGACCGACACTCGTATCGTGAGCTTGATCAAATGTTTAGACCATCTTTCGAGTCTCTTCTCTCAGCACTCGATAGCTTACACATGACGCACAACCTGTGTCACGACGACGTCAAGCTAGACAACATCTTCGTAACATCCGAGCACGATCCTAGAAAGTGGAAATTCGGCGACCTCGGCAACGCCCGCGAGCCCGATCACCCATATCACTACACGCCGCTGTGGACTGCGGACACGCCTCAGCTTCGCGACTGTCGCGCCAACGATGCGCTGCGCCTGACGAAGGTGTACTTCCAATTCCTTCGCGCCTCGAGCGGGAACCCCGACGCGTTTGATGAAGCTTTGATCGGCGGCGTTGATACACTGAGCAGATTCTACTGGGTGGTTGCCCGCTCCCCGATGCCAGTCTCGGCGGCGCAAGTTTGGCAGCTCTCGGCTGTTTACCCACCCCAATTGGTTGGTGAGAAGACGCCGTGGATGACGATGCAGCCTGCGCAAGTTGACTTTTCCCGCGGCTGGGCGCCAACGACCGAGGCCTTCCTTGGTTGGAAGGGGTCCTTGAGAAGTGCCGTGAAAAAGGAGCTGAGGGTTGGAGCCAAGGAGAGCATGGGTAGACTTTTCGGGTTGACCAGATTGTTGGGAATCCCAGTCAAAGCTTGTCAGGCTGTCTAAGACCTCGAAATTGAATCTCATTAACCGGCTAAAGAGTTGAAGTAGGCTTTGCGTCAAAATGGACGCCGGAGTCTAGAGTAGATACCCGTTATCGAAGAGAACAAAGATCGACTGAATGCACAATTCCTTTCCTCCATTGAACCTGAAGCAGCAGAATGCTGTCTACATCCAAGGCTACTGTGATAGAGTAACACTGTCTCAATTCAGTGCTAGCAAGACGCTTGTCAATTTCCGACCAAATGTTAAGGGCCGTCCTCTCAGGCATGCTGATCGGTATACCTCGTTCTAGAGGTGAATGACCCACCTTTCTTTGTAAAGCATTGGAAAAAGCTTTGGAAAGGTCGGCCGAAATGACTGAAAACAGTACCATATTGAACCTGGGCGAATCATCAGTAAACGTGACCTCTCAATCTAATCTACATGCACTCCTAGTGCTTAGTCCCATCAATAGATGTTGGACCCGGGGCCTGGGCCCGTGAAACCTTTCAGTGTAAGTAGACGGATGGATGGGCTCCCTTTCCCCACCTTGCTTTCTGGTTTGGGCGAGCTCGGCCGACGACGACTAAAGTATTCGACGACCCATTCGGTCTCTCTCACGAAGCCGAGTTTCGCAATATTATAAAATGAGCCTCTAATCTTCCAGGAGGACTGAAACTTGCTACTGGAAGCCACGACTTCATGGCTCTCTCATTTTAGATGAGCCACGGTGATCTCACATAACTTTCGGGTACCGTACCAAGCACAGACACGAAGGCACAGCTTGACGACATCACAATGTCTTCCTTAGGCGACCAAAAGAAAACACCGCTCGATGCTATCGTCCAGGGCAGCACCATGCAAGCAATGCCTACGTTCTCCGACGTTTCCGACAAGCGCGCCTTCATGCTGGATCACATGGCACATGCCTTCCACGTATTTGCGCGCAGAGGCTACAGCGAGGGAATGGCCGGGCATATTTCCGTTCGGGATCCAGAGTTCCCCGACAGATTTTGGCTCAATCCGTAAGAAGACTCTTCCACTGGAATATCAAGATATGATTGCAAGGCTGATCTTTCTTCATAGCCTCGGCGTTCACTTTGCGTTGCTAACCCCTGGCGACATGGCGTTGGTGAACGAACAGGGAGAAGTCATTGGAGGAAACAAATCGCGTCCAGTGAACGCGGCAGGGTTCCTCATTCACTCTGCGATCCACAGAGCCCGTCCTGATGTCGTTGCCGCGTGCCACTGTCACACTAGGTTCGGAAAAGCTTGGTCGGCATTTGGACGCCCCTTTGAGATGTTAAATGGAGACGCCGCTATGTTTTATGGAGATGCTCAAGCTGTGCTAACCAGCTATGGTGGCCTGGTCTTTGAAGAAAGCTTGAGTGATCCTGTGGCATCGGCATTGGGTCTAAATGGGAGAGGGTTGATCATGCAAAACCACGGCTTGCTCACCGTCGGCCAGAGTGTTGACGAGGCCGCTTATCTCTTTACACTGATGGAACGTTGTTGTGAGATACAGCTACTAGTGGAAGCGGCTGCAAAGGACGGCCTCGAGAAGCAATGCATCGATGATGCTACAGCTAAGCACACTTTCGAGACAAGTAGCGATTCGGTGAGTGAGAGTGCCCTCCTTGAAAGCCAAACGATTATTCATTGACTCTATTGAACTAGGATTCGCTGTACTGCGAGTTCCAGCCGGAGATCCAGAATGAAATATTTTTGCGAAGACTCAAATTTGGATCAGAAAGTCACG